AAACAGTTGTTTGCTAATTAACTGGGGGTAAAATTATAACACACTGCTTTAAATTATTCTTAGTGACATTAAGCACCTCTTCATGGTTCTATTGGTTAAAAAAAGTTCTTTCAAGAGTCTACACATGCTTTCACCCGTTCTGCTTTTTCATGGGCTTGTAGGAATTTGTGCTTGGGAAGCGTCCTCTGAGCTCTTGACACCTGCTGTAACCACTCTAGTTCCTTAGAGACACCTTTGGCTTTGCATCTGTCATCTGTCACTGTGCCCTCTCTCCTCCAAATTCTGTGCTCTCTTACCCGGCCACCTTCCCTGACTCAGCACCCATCCTCCTCACCATGTTACACATGTTAGGCCCCATTGTCTTCTTAGGTTATGTGGTGGTGCCATGTGAAGCAGGTTTTGACTGAGCATGGATAAACTCAGGTGGATATTTATTTAATATTGCCACATTTTATTATCTCAAAGGGATTGGTTTAGTGAATGGAAACTATTTAAGCTGGCTCTTCACCATCTGACCACTGTGGTCCAGGTGGTCTCAGCCCTCCATGTCATAGCACTCGGGCAGGCTCCCCGCCAGGTTGCTGGCCAGATACTGTTCTTAGCTTTGTTCTTGTGCAACTGCCAGTCAAACTCGGGGCCTCCTGCTTGTTAGACAGCACTCTACCACTGAGTTGCACCCCCCAGGTCAAAAAGCTGTTACATTATATACATATATAATGTTCTCAAAGACTAATGTCTGTCTATACAAATATAATGCTCTTAAAGACAGTCGGTTTTCTGATTCAGTGAGCATCTTTTTCTTTTTCTTTTCTTTATATTTTGATTGATTTTGATGAGCATGTTTTTCTGATGTGGGCATTATTTTGTTGTACTGATATTCTCACATTTATAGCTGAGTCTTATGTGTGTTTCTGTATTGTATGTGCACATTTATGTGTGTGTGTGTGTGTGTGTGTGTGTGTGTGTGTGTGTGTGTGTGTGTGTGTAGATGGAGTAGGATAAAGGGGTTCAGAGTTTGGTGAGGTTTCAGTTTAAAAGATGGCCAGTTGTATGTGTGTGTATCTGCTTCTGTTTCTAAAGTGAAAAGGAATGCAGCCCACTTAGTTATGAAACTCAGGGCTTGCACACACCCCTCCTGCTTAATTCTTTTGCTCTTAGTTTTAATGTTTTGAGTTTTCTAGCCTGTGTCATTGTTAAACTTGTATACCATCTCTGTGGACTGTGCCCACCCAAGGCCATGCGTAAACTATCTATCTATCTATCTATCTATCTATCTATCTATCTATCTATCTATCTATCTATCTATCTATCTATCTTGGGGCAGGGTTCCCAGGCTAGCCTTGATCACAGAGATCGCCTGCCTTTGCCTCTGGTGTGCTGGGATTAAAGATATGTGCCACCACACCTGGCCATATGAATAAATTATTTAACCCCCTTGGTTTGTAATCTAGCATATTTATGCCTTGGTTTCTACTTGGCTAGCTATATGCATGTACTTGAGTGTTATTGTGCTAATTATTTTCACATTAAAAATGATAGTGAAGTTTTGTATCTTCTGAAGTGAGTAAAATTCTAGAGTTCTCAGATAAAATTATAAATCTGAATATGGTAATGTCAGAATTTTGAAGTATTTTGCCAAATAAATATTTGTTCCTATTGTAATTTAGTAATGAAACAAAAAGCAGTGTTTCAGAATTGTATGAAATTTTGTTAGAAAAAGGGGATAGCGCAGAACTGATTCCTGAAGCCAATAGCAGGCCTATAAATGTGTTTATGAAAACAGCGTGGAGTGTGAGGTCTGGGTGCTTGGAAACAGAGGGCAAAGGTTCCTCTTGAGTGGCATGCTGTCCTTTACTTCTTAGCTGTTTACTACACTACTGCATCTGGAGCACCACGTCAGCTGTATCGAGCCCTGCTAGGAGAATGTATGTGGGTGCTGGCACCAAAAATGCATTAAAGAATGAAAAAACAAAACAAAACAAAACCAAAAAACACCCCAAACCATGTATTGACTATTCTGTTGCTAGCCAGTGCTTTGACAAGTGCAATTTGATCTTTTAGCCAGTAAAACCATGTGCACACACCTTTAATCCCAGCACCCAGGAGGCAGGGGTGGGAGGATCTCTGTGAGTTAGAGGCCAGGCTAGTCTGTAGAGCCAGTTCCAGGCCAGGCAAGGCTACATAGCGAGACCCTGACTCAGTAAGAAAACTGACGGGTAAGACATGGTAGATCGTGATGCCACTTGAGAATAAGTTCCCTGTTGAGATAGGATCAACACCAATGCAGTGTGCGGTGGATGCCACGCAGACCTCTGTTAAAAACCGCTGTGTTTGTTTAAAAACTGCTCTTTTGTTTCCACAAAAATATCAAAACACTGTAAGTCCTCATGTACAAAATGGAGAGGTTAACTCATTTTACTAAGAGGTTGTCATGATTAAAAGTTACGGTTAATGGAGCTGTAGCTCAATTGGAGAGTGTTTGCCTGGCACACACAGCCCTGAGTTTGAGCCCTAGTACTGTGAAACAGAAAACCAAAGGCTTTCTGGTGATTTATATACACAGTTGGGGGCTGTTACAACAACTCGGTATACTCAGTACATGGTATCTATTGGCGTATTATAAAGAGTGTGTGTGTGTGGGTGTGTGTGTGTGTGTGTATACTCAGTACATGGTCTCTATTGGCGTATTATAAAGTGTGTGTGAGTGTGTGTGTGTGTGTGAGTGTGTATACTCAGTACATGGTATCTATTGGCGTATTATAAAGAGTGTGTGTGTGTGGGTGTGTGTGTGTGTGTGTATACTCAGTACATGGTCTCTATTGGCGTATTATAAAGTGTGTGTGAGTGTGTGTGTGTGTGTGAGTGTGTATACTCAGTACATGGTATCTATTGGCGTATTATAAAGAGTGTGTGTGTGTGGGTGTGTGTGTGTGTGTGTATACTCAGTACATGGTCTCTATTGGCGTATTATAAAGTGTGTGTGAGTGTGTGTGTGTGTGTGAGTGTGTATACTCAGTACATGGTATCTATTGGCGTATTATAAAGAGTGTGTGTGTGTGGGTGTGTGTGTGTGTGTGTATACTCAGTACATGGTCTCTATTGGCGTATTATAAAGTGTGTGTGAGTGTGTGTGTGTGTGTGAGTGTGTATACTCAGTACATGGTATCTATTGGCGTATTATAAAGAGTGTGTGTGTGTGGGTGTGTGTGTGTGTGTGTATACTCAGTACATGGTCTCTATTGGCGTATTATAAAGTGTGTGTGAGTGTGTGTGTGTGTGTGAGTGTGTATACTCAGTACATGGTATCTATTGGCGTATTATAAAGAGTGTGTGTGTGTGGGTGTGTGTGTGTGTGTGTATACTCAGTACATGGTCTCTATTGGCGTATTATAAAGTGTGTGTGAGTGTGTGTGTGTGTGTGAGTGTGTATACTCAGTACATGGTATCTATTGGCGTATTATAAAGAGTGTGTGTGTGTGGGTGTGTGTGTGTGTGTGTATACTCAGTACATGGTCTCTATTGGCGTATTATAAAGTGTGTGTGAGTGTGTGTGTGTGTGTGAGTGTGTATACTCAGTACATGGTATCTATTGGCGTATTATAAAGAGTGTGTGTGTGTGGGTGTGTGTGTGTGTGTGTATACTCAGTACATGGTCTCTATTGGCGTATTATAAAGTGTGTGTGAGTGTGTGTGTGTGTGTGAGTGTGTATACTCAGTACATGGTATCTATTGGCGTATTATAAAGAGTGTGTGTGTGTGGGTGTGTGTGTGTGTGTGTATACTCAGTACATGGTCTCTATTGGCGTATTATAAAGTGTGTGTGAGTGTGTGTGTGTGTGTGAGTGTGTATACTCAGTACATGGTATCTATTGGCGTATTATAAAGAGTGTGTGTGTGTGGGTGTGTGTGTGTGTGTGTATACTCAGTACATGGTCTCTATTGGCGTATTATAAAGTGTGTGTGAGTGTGTGTGTGTGTGTGAGTGTGTATACTCAGTACATGGTATCTATTGGCGTATTATAAAGAGTGTGTGTGTGTGGGTGTGTGTGTGTGTGTGTATACTCAGTACATGGTCTCTATTGGCGTATTATAAAGTGTGTGTGAGTGTGTGTGTGTGTGTGAGTGTGTATACTCAGTACATGGTATCTATTGGCGTATTATAAAGAGTGAGTGTGTGTGTGTGTGGGTGTATGTGTGTACTCAGTACATGGTATCTATTGGTGGAGTATAAAGTGTGTGTGTGTGTGTGTGTGTGTGTGTGTGTGTGTGTGTGACAGTCACATCCCGCTGACTAGGATCAGGAGTATTTGGAAGACACATTCCTACCGATTATGTGCAGACGAGCTTTCTTATTATTTGTCCCTCAAAGAATGCAGTGTGTCATCTAGTTACAAGGCACTTTTATTGGGTTAAATACTGCTAAGTAATCTATACTTCAAAGTGCTCTGTGCAAATATTGTGGATAGCAGGAGACAATTGTCTGTTAGTGAGCCCTTTCCTTATATAAACCTTTTAGTAAACTGATATATGAACTAAACAAATGGAAAATGAAGAGAACAGTGTTTAGATGAGGCTGATATAGAAAAAACGTTCACCTGCACCCTCCTGGCCCTCAGCAAGCTCCCATGATACCAAATACTTCACAGGGATTTAGAGCTCTGAAGAGTCCTGTGGACACCACCCTACCAAACTTTATGTTTTGCAGTTTGGGGGACTGAACCCAAAGCCTTGCACATTAGGCAAACACTTTGTCACCAAGCTTTGTCCCCACCTCTCTGCTGGACTTTGAACGAGATCTCAGTCTTCTCAATGGGTGCTGGTGTGCTCTCACCTCACAGCAGGTGGTTAAGGGATCCAGTCAGTTCAGCTCCACACTGCTTCTGACATTCTCTGATTGCTAATTGGAGTCATAGTCTGAAGTAGAATTAATGAACCCATGGGCCAGCATGCGTCACTTAAAGCCTGTAGTGATAACGCCATGGTCTTCTGTTCTTTCCCAGATTAAAGCTGGCATTTGCCCCTGACGAATAGGAAGATGATGAGTGATGCTAGTGACATGTTGGCAGCGGCCCTGGAGCAGATGGACGGGATCATAGCAGGTAACCCGCCCTTCCCCCACCATCTCCTGTTCCCACTCTGCTCTTCCTTTAATTTAGTGGCTCTCTCCAATGCGCTTAGGACCCCAGGTTTTTAACCTTTGTTCTGCTTCTCCAGTTCTACCAGTTATGCTGACATTTTGCAGCAAAATGTCAAAGACTTCACTTCCACCCCCAGGCTTCTCATCAAGCTACAGGGTCCAAGTCCCGGGTTGTCAGACATTGATGGCCCATGGACCACACTGTAAGAGTGTGTTCTTTCCTGTTTTTGTGAATAACCTGTTCTAGAAGTCAGCATTCGGGCCACAGGTGGCTTGGCTCCTCACTAAGGCTCGGGTCCCTACCCCTGCCAACAAGATCTTTCCTGGGCACATCAGTGCCACACTGAGCTGCAGCACAAACTAAAACATCAATTAAGTGCATTATCTTTTCTTTGGAAGTGCCTTTAGTGGCCTTTATCTGGGTTTGTTTGTTTGTTTGTTTGTTTCTTTCTTTCTTTCTTTCTTTCTTTCTTTCTTTCTTTCTTTCTTCTTCCTCTTCCTCCTCTTCCTCCTCCTCCTCCTTCTCCCTCTTCCTTCTTCCTCCTTCTTCCTTCTTCCTCCTTCTTGCTGGAGAGATGGCTCAGTGGTAAAGGTGCTCACTGCTTTTGTACTGGATTTGGGTTTCATTCCCAGCACCCATATCAGTCAAGCCGCAAAAGCCTATAATTCTAGTTCTAGAGGAATCAGATGTCCTCCTCTTGCCTCTACAGCCACCTGTATGCACATGGCACTCATAAATTCACAGGGGAACATGTGTGATCACACACACACAGACAGATAAATGTTTATAAAACTTTTGTAGAAAATAATAAAAGAAAAAGAAAAAGAGAGGTTATGCAGGACCCATACCAAACTAAGTCAGATGTTTTGTAAATAGGTAGGTCCTGGACTTATTCCAGCGAACAGTTATGATTCCTCAGCTGAAACAGGAGGGAGAGGAGGAGAAATGACTATAAATGCTTAGGTTCTTTTTTAAATTATATATACGTGTGTGTGTGTGTGCGCGCACGAGCGTGCGTGCGCTCACTTTGCTCTGTAACAAGGTATATTAGTAGAAGATTACCATGGGAATAATATCAGGTGATCTTAATGCTTGTAAGTGCTGAGACAGAGCCCTGCAGTCTTCAGGACTGAGTGTGTTTGTGTGATATTCATGTTTGCACGTCTGGGGGTGTATGTGTGTGCGTGTGTGTAGTACTGAAGTCGATGAGGGGTGTCTTCCTTGACGTTCCCCAATTCTTTGAAGTAAAGGCTCTTGCTGAACTCAGAGCTCACCATTTCTGGCCACTCTTGCTTGTCCCAGTAATCTTGTCCCTGCCTCCCAGGTACTGGAATTACAGGGTCTGAGGCAGGGTCTTACTATGTAATCTGGCTGACCTGGAACTCGCTGTGTAGACCAGGGTGGCCTCAAACTCACAGAGCTTTGTCTGCCTCTGCCTCCCAAGTGCTGGTATTAAAGGTGTGCACACCACCACATTTGGCTTAGAACTCCAATTTTTAAAACGAATGTTAACTAACATGCTAAGGCTATAAACAGAATGGCAGAGGGAATTCTTATACACATATGCTCACATATACATAGGAACATACGCAACTCACCAAACATTACCACTGAAGTACATGACTCATTTTCAGGGAATTCACAGACTTCATGGTCTCTAAGATCCTTGTTTTCTGAGAGGCATGGCTCCACCTGGACCACTCATCCACCTTGTTCTGATCTCTTCCTGGGCCTACCATGCTTCTTTTCCTTCTGTCCCCCGAGCTGGCCTTTTCGTTAGGCATTGCACCAGTCATACTTACTGTCAATGACATTGTTTTTTATTTTTCAACTATGTGATATTTGGAGAGATTTACGTGACTGAGTTTTATTTTTTTATTTATTTTTGTCTTTTCCATATTCTTTGTCATCATTGCTGGTGACTACACTGATTTGTCTTTTTTCCAGGTGTGGTATTTTACCTAACATAAATCCTATTGCTCTCTCTGATTTGTTTCTTTTTGAAACCAGGTTCTAAAGCCTTGGAATATTCCAATGGGATTTTTGATTGCCAGTCTCCCACCTCTCCGTTCATGGGGAGCTTGCGAGCATTGCACCTTGTGGAAGACCTCCGTGGATTGTTGGAGATGATGGAAACGGATGAGAAAGAGGGGCTGAGATGCCAGATCCCAGACTCAACAGCAGAAACGCTTGTTGAATGGCTTCAGAGTCAGATGGTAGGCTTCCACGTGTTCCTTCTCTGCGCCGCCGTCAGTCTTCTCTTGTTTATTTCAAAGCTGAGAGCACAGACTAGCTGATCAAACAAGAGGGGGAAAAAAAAACTTGCAAGGCAGAACATAAGACCCAAGTTCCTCTCTTCTCTAAAGACAGCTTAAAAATTTCCCCCGTTTCATTTATGGGCATGAATATTTTGTGTGCATATGTGTCTGTGTACCACATATATGCAGTTGCCTGTAAGCCCTGAAGAAGGTGTCAGGTAGGGGTGTGTGTGTGTGTGTGTGTGTGTGTGTGTGTGTGTGTGTGTGTTTTACAGTAGTTAGGTGGGCACTGAAAATTGAACCATCCTCTGAATCTAAGGACAGGTAGTGTACCTCTTAACCCCCATCTCTCCAGTCCCCAAGGATGATTTTTGAGGAGACACTGTATTGTATGGATGCCAATGGGTTGCCCAGTTCTGGCTCTGAAAATGGACTGGCTTTTATGTCACTGTCATTGACCTGGTGTGTCTCAAAGCAACTGTTCCTGTGAGGAAAAGGACCTTGTGTGAAACAGGTGCTGTCTCAGTCACGGTAGGGTGGGGCTGCCTATGAAGAAATTAATGGCAGTTCCAAACAGGAAGTGCAGTGAGTGAGTGAGCCAGTGAGCTCTTCAGAAAGCAGTACAGGTTTGTAGCTGCACTTGAGGAAAAGTGCCATCTAGTGGACTGTGACAATCATGTCACTTCTACTTCTGTTCGCTCTAACACTGGCTCCTCCTAGACATCCTTCCCTACACAGTGGCAAATATCATGTCTGGTACATGTTGAACACACAAAGTCTAAAGAACAGCACAAAGCAGATGCAAACAAGAAGATAAGGAGGGAGACATGATGATTAAGACTCATGCATATGCTAAGACTTGGTTGTGTTTTTATAAGAACTAATGAAGACTGCATGAAAGGACTAAGGTCTGTTTGGAGGAGTGAGAGCTGCTCTGAGTCGTATCATGCCTAAAGCCAAGACATTTCACGTAGTCCTGGCCAGTCCAGACCTGAGCCTGGTGTTCTTGGTTCCACCCAGCTGGTACCAGTTCAAACTGCCTTTCAGGATTAGAGGAGTTAGAGATGTTTCCCTGTTAGCGGCTGGTGATGCCTGCATGAGATTTGACACTTGCCCCAGGAGAGACCTCCAGGTGCTGGTTTCTTTGGAAGTAGCTCAGTGCTCTGGAGCACACTGTTCCCTGGCACCTTGCTCAGCCTGTTCCTGCTTCCCGTGTCTTTATGTTCAGCACACAGTGAGAAAGGAATTTATTGCTGGCGAAGGGGTTTCCTCCCCACTCACACCCAGAGGCCGTCAGCAGCAGTGGTGGCTCAAGAGGACCTGTAGATAATTGCTTGTGTTCAAAGCATTTCCAGTAACATGTGCCTGTTGTTTTGTTGAGTGTCTGGGGCTGAGGAGGGAGAGGGTGTCCTCAGTGATACTGTTGACACCTGTGCTTGGTCTTAACGACACTCTGCCCAGAGTGCAGTGAAGGGGCCCCTGTCACCTTCCATCTGCACTGACACCCCTAGGTGACTGTGCTGACGTGGTTAATGTGATTGTGGACACCTCTCACGGGGTTTCCCAGGAGCCCCAGGATGGTTGCTTTAATGTCAGCTGGGGTGTCTCAGTATGCTGCTTTGTAACACAGGTGACAAAGTTCACTTAGAGGAAACAGGCTTCAGATGGACCTTGTTTTCCAAGGCCTGAGAAAACATCCCGAGGCTCACATGAAAGGAGGGGCCTTGCAGAGAGCACAGAGCAGCTCTGCAGGAGGCTGGAGGGAAGGCACTCAGTTGAACAGCTGCAAGTCTGCAACTGGAGACCAGGCAGCAAGGCTAGCCAGTGGCCCAGAGAGAGCATATCTACAGCGGAACTCCAAATTATACACATTTGCATTTTTACCCTTAAAAAATATGACTTGGGATTGAAATATTTTCATTTTTGAAATGTAGAAATTAGATAGGCCTGTATGATGATTATTTAACAGGTCAGGAAGCTGGCCAGTAACGCCCCATTAAATTTGCAGACATTAAATCAGTATTCCACCGAAAATGAAATTTTTGTAACTTGTACTATGAGACTGCCTCATAACCAAAACTGCAAAACCGTGAGACTCTCCTGTCATTCGACCAATCCATCTGGCTGTAGCAGCTCTAGACCCTGGTTCTTGGATTGAAAAAGCATTGTAGGAGTATCCCAGGGCAAGTTAGACCTAAGATAAACAGAAACTGTGTCTTTGGCTCAGATACAGTCTTCCATTTGCTGCCTTAAATCTAGGGCTTGGCCGGGCTGTGGTGGTGCACACCTTTGATCCCAGGACTAGGGAGGCAGAAGCAGGCGAATCTCTGAGTTTGAGCTCTGCCTGTGTAGCCAGGGCTACACAGAGAACTACTGTCTTAAAAAAAATATGTAGGGCTTGATAGACGCACAGTCGTCCATTAGTAATATCTGTTAACACACTGTAACAATTCACGTTGTAATGTGATTCCGTGCTGCCTCTGTAACTGAGCAAGTTTCCTGTTGGATAGATTTTTTTTTTCCCCAGCCACAGGAGACTGACTGGTGAATCATAAATGTCTTCATTCTCTAGGAGCATAGCGTTACAGAGATGCCTTCATTCTCTAGGAGCATCATAGCGTTACAGAGATACCTTCATTCTCTAGGAGCATAGTGTTACAGAGATACCTTCATTCTCTAGGAGCATAGCGTTATAGAGATACCTTCATTCTCTAGGAGCACAGCGTTATAGAGATGCCTTCATTCTCTAGGAGCATAGCGTTACAGAGATGCCTTCATTCTCTAGGAGCACAGCGTTACAGAGATGCCTTCATTCTCTAGGAGCATAGCGTTACAGAGATACCTTCATTCTCTAGGAGCATAGCGTTACAGAGATGCCTTCATTCTCTAGGAGCATAGCGTTACAGAGATGCCTTCATTCTCTAGGCGCATAGCGTTACAGAGATACCGTTAAGACAGACTCATGCTACATGCTGTCCCATCCCGGTGATAGCTAGGAGCGCATGCTTTCTTTTATCCAGCTACCGTGGTTTTTGTGTTTGAGACTGGGTGTCCTAGGCAGGCCCCAAGTTCTCATTCCACCTCCTGAGAAAACTGGCATTACAGGCACATGTCCAGGTGCCAATTACATGAAATAATTAAGGAGGCTTCAGCAGTTAGTAAATTAAGTAAGCTGCATCCTTTGGGAAACCGGGGATGCTCCAGACCTGGCAGGAGTGATAATTACAAGTGCAAATGCCCACTGCGCTAATGAGAAGATTAGCATCTCTTAGAGGACATGGACTCTCAAGCCATGTCCATGGGAAAGTGTGAATAAAGACTAATTGCTTAATTGGCACCATTAACAAGTGACCATAAGGTACCATGGGAGCACTTTGCAGTCGCAGAAGCATCTGCTGTTCACCAGAAGTGAACTGCTGTGATGATCTGTAAGACTCCCTTGTGGCAGAGCCTTTCCCTCTGTGGAAAGGTATCCTACTAGGTTCTCGATCTGTAAGATCTACTGCTGTCTGCCAGCCTCAGGGAGGAGTGCCCAGTACGGGTTAGCACAGGCCCCTCACAATTCCCTTTGCTAATGAGGACGCTGAGAAGGAGCTGAGGAGAGCCAACTGTCTATGGGTTAAGCCCTTCACTGCCTTCCTCCCTCAGTTACCAGCCTCCTTTACTTGCTCCCGGGACCACTTCTCATGGGCAGTTGGGGAATTTGCCAGGATCCTGTGTGTCTCCGTTACTTTTCTTGCTGTAATAAAGTGCCTGACAATAGCAGCTTGAAGACAGAGGGTTTATTTTGGCTCAGGATTTAAGAAGGAACCCAGTGCACCATGGTGGTGGTGGTGGTGGTGGTGGTGGTGTGGAACACATGGAGACAGGAATGTGAGGCGCTGGTCACACCGGCAACAATTAGTAAGCAGAGGGCTGACAGGAAGTGGGGCTGGGCTACAGAACTCAAGACCCTCCCCTCAGTGTCCCTTTTCTTCCAGTGAGGTTCCATGCTTAAAAAATTACACAGCCTCCTGAATAGTGCCACCAGCCAGTGGGGAACCAAGTGTTTAAACCCCTGAGTCTGGAGGAGGGGACACTTTAAACTGTAGCACTGTGTCCTTCATTTATCTCAGGGGTTGTTTTATTTGTAATTTTAGAATCACCATTCTCAGTGTTTTTACTACACCATGGGGAAGTGCTAAGCATATCGACACGGGTGCAGACATCACCATCCTCTACCCGAACAAGCCTTTCCACCCTGAAAATTCCCAGGTCTGTGCTGCCAGGCACCATCCCTGCCTTCGACACTCCGTGTCTTCCTACGTCTCTGAGTCTTACAGTTCTAGACACCCTAATAATAAAGAGTGAAAAGGGAAGAATGAGTCCCAGCTAAACAGTGCATGTGTGCACGCCCCCATTTAGACATATGACATACACACCAGGACTTGTGAAACACTCAGTGGAGAAGTCATGGCATGATAAGCGCCAGACCCTCTTCTGTTGGATTCTCAATGCTGGCTCTGGTGCACTGTGACAGGTAGGTGGTGGCTCCTTCATGCTCCTGACTCTGTTCCCTCCACATCCACTTCTGCTTTCCTCTTCCTGCTTCTCCCCCTTCTTCCCTTCTCTGTGTGCCTGAGAGAAAACATTTACCTTGGTTTGGGAGGTTTGTGATGGGGAGAAAGACTAGACAGGGTCCTCTGGAGCCACGGCTGCCGCTGGTGGCCTTTGGGTTGCAAGTGAGTAGGAAACCCTTTTGCCAGTAATAATTTCCTTTCTCAGTGTGTGTTGAATGTAAAGACACAGGAAGTAGGAACAGGCTGAGAAATGTTTCACGGAACAGTGAATTTCAGAGCACTGAAATACCCACAACCCACCCCCACCCCCACCCCCCAGCAAACCTGGACCTTTAAGTCTCTGAGGGAGACACTCCTAGGACAAATGTCAAGTTTTACAAACAGGCACTGTCTGTTTTC